CCCCAAAGAAGGAATCACAACTCATAACTAGCCTATCTGTGCTAAGTATAATGTTCCATGACATTCATCTCATACATCATAGAAGCTGGCTTCTAGCATAAGGGCATCATAGCTTATTACATGATTTCTCATCTCATCATTAGTATTAAGTATGCATTAACTTCAATAATTTCATTACAGTGTTCATAGAAATTGGTCTCTTCATTAACTTTACACTCTCATAGGTGAGTACGTCTTGGTAACATTTACTTGGGCTCATTTAAGATTCCTATCACCTTTTGCTTGAGCCTCTTATCATGTTGTCACCACATTCTTTAACTTTAGCATATTAACTCTTCATAATAACTCACCGCTTTACGTGAATATTCATTTCTTTGTATGCCAATGCACTTGCCCCTTAAATGTGTGTCACACTCTTACTTAACCCCTCTAGGGTTTCATTATCTCATCACATAACATCTTAGGTTCACTTACTTTTAAATGTATGCTAGACTTATGAGTCCACACATACAAGCCATGAGGCTTCATTCATAGTTTGTCTAAGTGATTCATATTTACCCAATATTATATGGTACAAGACTTATGTATCTTTTAGATATACCAAGATATTGATTTCAATCATTGGAGGCAGCATTCATTAAATATTTGTTCACGTATGAATTATGCATCAATACGGAATTGGAAAAGGGAACCCGATTTTGAATCCCTTGAGCAACACTTAATCTTATATCAAACTTGATGATTTCATTTTTTTGATTTGGGGGACCCTAGTTAAATCCCAATCACTCCCATAATATTTCATTTCTTTTCTTCTTCCCTTTTTTGTTTAAGGCAAGGAGGTTGTGGGATCAATCCCCCACAAGCTCATTATTTTTCTCTTAATTTATCTATTAACTTTCTCACCTATTCAAGGGGTTGTGGGTTTAATCCCCACTCTTCATATTTATTTTTCTCTTTTATTTTTCTCCTAACTCTTTCATCCATTCGAGAGGTCGTGGGTTCAATCCCCACTCTCCACATTTATTTTTTCTCCTTTATTTTTCTCCTAACTCTTTTATCTGCCAAGAGGTTGTGGGTTCGAATTCCCACAGCCTCACCTTATTTTAATTTACATTTTCTCCTTACCTCTCATTCTGCCAAGAGGTTGTGGGTTCTAATCCCACATACCTCAATTTTATTATTTCTTTATTTTATTCTTCTCCTCTCTCCTTCATCCGTCCAAGAGGTTGTGGGTTCGAACCCCACACACCTCACTTCATTTTCTGTCATTCCCCCCCTAACTTTTCACTTGAGCTTTACACCATTTCGAATCCCCCTGACCACATTTTATTATTTAATTATGACATGTATATGGTGAGGTCTTGGGTTCAATCCCCACTGACCTCAAGAATTTAAAAAAATATTTTAAGACATGATTATTTTACAGTAAGCTACCCCAAAACAAATTTCCAGAATGCTGGAATTTGTTCACCCTCTTTGCATTCTATTTTCTCAACTCTTAGATGTTAGATTTAGGATAAATTTTCATGTAACATCTAGTGAATCTTTAGTGAGTTTTCATGGTTATTTTCGAGAATTTAATCACCTTTTTGCAGTTCATTTTCTCACCCTCTTTCACGTTAAACATCAAGACATTTAGAGTAGCTTTTTTAGGGAGATCTTTATGTGCATTTTCAAGGTTACTTTCAATTCAAGAATTATCATTCAATTCAACAACTTTGCACTTATATGAACATCACACTTTTAACATATTTGTACATGTAAAATACAACATTTTAACATGTAAATTTCAGGCAACAAAACATAGTTAATTCACGGCACAGACATGCACAAATTATTAACTTAATACATTTTCCTGGAACACATATGTCATTTCTTTCATAATTTCCGAATACACAATCAAACAAAATCATCTACCAGAAGACATACCAACGCATACTTTGAATCTTTCAAAGGATCTAATGACAGGGGCATGAAATGGGGACAACCTTACTTTCTCGATTAGAATATAAACTGAACTTAGGGGTCTCTTGGGAAAGGTACCAAGAGAGAAGAAAACTCATACCTTAATGTCGTTCAAAACTTGTTTAAATGCTTCTAATTTACCACGAAACCAAGCCTCACCACCGAAACTTAAAGCACAATCCCATCAAGAACTTCTTGTTGATTTTCGTTTTTAGCTTAGTTTTTCGTTTGAGTTTTTGTGAGTAAGTTCTTCAAGAGTGAAGAACCATTATTTTCAGTTCTTTTAATAATAAAAACGTGAGAATGAGAGTAAGAGACGTGAGAATGAGAGGATTAGAATTAGAATTAGGATTAGGAGAGTTAGGTGGAGACTTAGTCAAACTAGGACTCTTCATTATTTATTAATTTTATTATTATTATTTTTTATCAAAAATGTGTTTTATCCCTTACTTAAATAAGCTTTTTAAATATTAATTAATTCAACTAATTCACTTAATAAAATTAAATCAATTTAATACTTGCTTCTACCAAGGCTCGAACCCAGGTAAAGCTAGATTTTGCTTAAAGGGTCAAATTCGGCAACCTCTACCCGAGTTGGCCCTCCATCATATTAATTAATTAATTAAATATTTAGGGTATTATAATACTATCATTTTCCTGAAAAAGACCATTTTATCCCTAGACCCTCCAAATTTAAGATTACCCTTTTCTAAGTCCGGTTAAGACTCATCCGGGTAAATCTTCATATTCGGGTGCTCTACATGGCTGGACCCAACCTTTCGTAGCTCAACTAACTCACCAAGTTAATTGGCTTGGCTGTTGAAGAGGTTCAAAGGTCTGATTCTACGCGCATCAATCCGTGTGAATCTGGTCTAATCTAGGCATTCTAGATACATTAGACATTACTTAGCATAGTCATTTTAGGGTTGCTACAAATACCTTCCGAGTCTCAAACATCATGACGGGTAACAATCTCTCTTTCACTTTTATTTTTCTCTTTTTTTTTTGTAGATCAACAAAAGCAATTTTATATTTTATGGAGGCTACGTACTGGAAGATTTATCACACAAAAATGTATTAAACGTCCCTGCCTTGAAAATAAACTCACGGTGTCACAAGGTTCCGAATGCTTAACCAACTTGAAGCTTTACTAGAATACCGTGTAACAATAACTCCTTGAAAATAAACTCAAGGTATTAGAAGGTCTAGAATGCTTAACCATGAAGCTTTACTAGAATGTCGTGTAACGCTCCCGCCTTGAAAATAAACTCAAGGTGTTACAATGTCCCGAATGCTTAACCAACTTGAAGCTTTACTAGAATACCGCATAACACTCCCGCCTTGAAAATAAACTCAAGGTGTTACAAGATCCTAAATGCTTAACCATGAAGCTTTACTAGAATGTCGTGTAACGCTCCCACCTTGAAAATAAACTCAATGTGTTACAAGGTCCGGAATGCTCAACCAACTTGATTATTTACTAGAATACGTATAACGCTCCCACCTTAAAAATAAACTCAAGGTGTTACAAGGTCCTGAATGTTTAACCATGAAGCTTTACTAGAATATCGTGTAACGCTTCTGCCTATAAAATAAACTCGAGGTGTTACAAGGTCCCGAATGCTTAACCATGAAGCTTTACTAGAATACCGTGTAACGTTCCCGCCTTGAAAATAAATTCAAGGTATTACAAGGTCTCAAATGCTTAACCATGAAGCTTTACTAGAATATCGTGTAACGTTTACGCCTTGAAAATAAAGTCAAGGTGTTACAAGGTCTCCAATACTTAACGAACTTGAGTTAGGATAAACCCGTGAAAAGACCACTTTAAGGTGCAAAGGGACAAATATTGTTCACCTTAAGGCATGGAAATTTAAAGATCCTTTTAAAGATAAATCCGTAGAAACTCTAGCTTAAGGTGCAAATGGACAAGTTTGTCCACCTTAAGGCATAGAAATTTAAATTTCGTTCAAGGATAAATTCGCAACAAAGCTAGCTTAAGGAGCAAAGGGACAAATATCGTCCACCTTAAGGCATGGAAATTTAAAGATCCTTTTAAATATACACCAGTGAAAAGACCAACTTAAGGTGCAAAGGGACAAATCTTGTCCACCTTAAGGCATGAAAATTTCAAGATTCTTTCAAGTATACACCCGTGAAAAAGCCTAGCTTAAAGTGCAAAGGGACAAGTTTGTCCACCTTAAAATATAGAAATTCAAAGATCTATTGAGGGATAATCTGAAACAAGTCTAGCTTAAGGTGCAAAGGGACAAACCTCGCCCACCTTTAGGCATGGATTTCAATTACATACGCATTTGGAGACTTCTACTTACATACTTATAGTCTTACCTTCATACTTAGAGGATTTGAATACATCAACCTATATACTTAAAGAATTTGGATACTTCAAATAATAAAATTGAAGAATATAAAGACTTCAATATGCATACTTGATCTAATTTAAAGACTTCAACCATACTAATAAGAGACTCATATTTTATAAGGGTTTGCCCTCTCCATTGACCCATCAATACTTCGTACAAGTCTAAAGTTTGATGAGACAAAAGATAAATTAAAATACATATCGCTTTGACTTTCATGCGACAAATCAAGTGGGAACATTTTTTTTGACACTCATGCAACTGAACTTAGAATATGGTTCTAAGCACCTACGTACCTCAATGAAGATCAAAATGTAGTTCTGGGGGACTGAGTGATTTTTATTTTATTTTTTATTTTTTATTTCTTTTTTTGGTTGTGGCACCATACACAGTTTATACTCTTGCGGTCTAGGAGTGACATACAGTTTAGGCTCGTATCTTAAGGATCATCATTTTACTTCAAGGGTAGTACCTCTTTAGGAATTTGAAATTAATAGGACCGATCCTTAAGCCATCAGCATCAACAAGCTTGTAAGCACCATTTGAATATGCTTCTTGTACGACATATGGTCCATCCCACTTTAAGGTAAATTTGCCCCCATACTTGTGCGAAGTAATGATAGGTCTTCTTATCGCGAGAACTTGGTCTCCAACTTAATAGCACCTCAAGCAAACCTTTTTACTGAAAGCACGAGATAGACGAGCTTGATAACATTCAAGGTTTTGTGGAGCTTCTAGCCTCTTTTCATCAAGTGCTTCTAACTCAGAAAGACGGAGTTGAGCATTTTCTTCTTCAGTGAGCCTTTCTTGAATAGCAAGTCTTAAGGAAGATATTTGACGCTCGAGTGGCAGGACTGCTTCAACTCCAAAAGTAAATGAATGTGGTGTTGCTTGAGTTGGAGTGTGATATGCTGTCCTATATGCCCACAAAGCTTCTTCGATTCTTTCATGTCAATCCCGTTTGGATTTGGAGACAACTTTCTTGAGCAAGTTGCATAGAGTCTTATTGAATGCTTCAGCAAGACCATAAGCGGCAGCATGGTGTTATGCTGTAATTTTACTATCTCAAGAAAAATCAATTTTGAAATGTTTCCAAGTATAAAATAATTTTGGAAAAATCCTTAGAAAAGAGTCGCCACTTAATTTTTTAAAGAAATTAAGAAAAAATAATTTAAAAAAGACTCTAACAGATTAAGTCTTTTAAAAAAATTAGAGAAAATGAATAAGAAGTTCTTATTACTACTTTAAGAAGGTATTAGCACTTAAAATAGCCGCTAACACGAGATTATCCTATGACTTAGGTTAAATATTTGACTAACTTTGAGAAAAAAAATTAAGTGTACAAAAGAAGATTTTTTTGGGGTTTTTTTTTTAGAATGAAACTAATTTAATTATTTGAAAGTGATCAAAACTTCTAAAAAAAAGGTTAAGATTAGCACTAAAAAATGACCTTAAGATTAACATATAAAGACGAGATAAAAATTAAAACTTTTTTTAAAATATATATTATGTAAGAATTTATTTAAATCACTTTATAGATGACAATTTAAATTAATTTGGTTAATTAAATCATGGTACGTTATTTTAAATTAATTGATGAATAAATAAAAGTTTTGACTAAAGATTATCAAATAAAGTAAAAAGTAAAATTTTAAAATAAACTAACATAAAGAATATAGCTCATTTTTTGGGTAATTTAATTAAACTAAACCAAATCAAATAAAGGGTTAGATTTAAACAAAGAAATCAGAAATAAGCAATAAGTATAAGTCAAATAACTAAGAAAGTAATTGACTTAGGCCCAAGTCTAGTTGTTATAAATGACTTGGGTTTCAACCCAAGTTAAACCTCAAGAATTGCTGCAATTGGCCTCTTTGCTCAATTTTTGTTTTGTATACATATGATGTATACTAGTGTATATTGAATGTATACAGACTCGTATTTATGCCTTCTGAACCTGTAGCAGCTCTATTTTATCATGTCTTGGCTTCCCTTTATTCTTTATCAGCTTCCTAAACTTGGAAATAATGACAAAGATGACTCGAAAAAGGAAGAGTGTTGGGTTTCAACCAAACTCGAGATGCAAGGAGTGAAGGAGAGAGTCTCCAAATTGGACTCGGAACAAGAGATTCATGCCAGAAAAAATAAAAAATAAGAATTAGAATGGTAATTCAAACAACTTAGAATTATTCACAGCTAACACATTACAAGAAGCAATTAATAAGTCATAACCTAATAAATTAACATATAAAGCTAAATACTCTCCAGTAACAAGTAAACATTTACTAATTTAAGATAGTTGCTCGAAAAAATATGTATAGTAGTCAATGCATACAAAAAAAAATAATAACAACAACAGCAACAACAACAACAACAACAACAACAGCAGCAACAGCAGCAACAACAACATCAGCAACAACAACAACAACATGAATATGTTGACTATGAGGAGCAAAAAGTAAATCTTATTCATCAAATTGCCCATAGTTAGTTGATTTGAACTCAAGATCCATACGAAAGATCCTAAGAATAAGTAACAAATACTTTAACATTAAAGAAATCAGAAAATGAACAACACCAACATTTAACTGTTAAAACTATAACATTAAGGAAATTAGAAAATAAAAAACGCCAACATAAACACAAAAATTGATAATTTCCAAAATAATAATAATAATAATAATAAAATAAAAAAGAACTTAAAAAAGAGAATAGGATCTTATCTTTTTAGGGGAAGGATCTGGGACAACGAGCTTAACCACAAAGAGCTACCACCACTATGAGCCGATTTCGATGAGCTCCGAAAAAAATAAAACAACTTCGAATTCAAATTGAAAAAAGAACTCTTTGTTTCCATTTTTTTTAAAGATCTTTCGAATTCTCCAAACCTGTCTTAATTCTATCTCGCTTGTCCGGATTCGATCTAGTGTCTTTTTCTTTTTCTTTTTTTTTTTGGTTTCTATACCTATTTTTTCTTTTCTCTGTCTCTATATTTTTTTGTATCTAATGGTAGAAATAATTCCTCGTGTCCCTTTTTTTTCCCATTATCTTAAATGGCATCAATACCATGTATTTATAGCAAAAATAAAGGCTTGAATTTAAAAATCGGTTTAGTGGAAGATGAAAGATTGATTGAAAAATAATGGAGGAGAAAATGAGTGAGCGGAAAATATACCCTTGAAAATTCAAATTCAATGTAATATCTTCCGATTCGGAATAGATTATGATGAGATTTATCTAACCTTAAGTCAACAATTTGGGCTATTGATTTGTAATCTTTGACTTTGGAGGGAGGGATTGTCAATGGTGGTGGGTAGTATAGTTGGATGAAGAAATTATGGTATTTTTTTTTATTTTGGGTTTTGGAGGAAGTAAAGTGAGAGAAGAAACACACGTGAAGATTGGAAATTTGGCCACTTTTATTATTGTTCTAATCAAATTAAACTTAGATATAGTCAATTGAGTCAAATAACTAATTCGGGTCAAAATTAAAATAAGATGAATAATCATCGATTAATTATTTGAGCTTCTTAATTCAAACAAGAAAAAATAATTATCAAGACTTATTCATCATTTAAAATATAGATTAATTATACAAAATAATAAAATTCACTAATTCTAGAAATAAATGTGTAATTATGCTAAACATTATTTTAGGCTATTTATTAAATATTCATATAAAACATGACAACTGTAAAAAAAAATGTAAAAATATATAGTTAATTCTGATAAATACTATTAGAAAAAGATTTTTAAAAATATATATTTTTTAGGATTTTCCAAAGGCGATTATATCAAATTGTTTGAAATTGAAGAAGCTCGATAATTAGCTCAAATTGCATAGGGTCAAAATTGGATGTCAACACATGGTACATAGAAGATTTACACTGTTTGAAGCCAAAGAGATCACAAATCTTGTTCATTAACTTGTTATCAAATGACTTTCCATTTTCTATTATTATATAGCGAGTGATGCCAAAGCGATATATTTACTCGGATAAATTTGCAACATTCTCTTTCTTCACCTCTTTAAGAGCGACAACTTCAGCCCATTTTGAAAAGTATTCAGTTGCAGCCAAGATGTAAAAGTGTCCCTAGAAGACTTTGGAATTGGTCCCACAATATTCAATCCCCAGGCATCAAATGGCCAAGATGCGATAGTTGGATCCATTACTTCGGTCGGCTGATGTATGAATTCGCATGAAAATGAAAAGCATCGCACCTCCGAGCATAATCTAAGCAATCCTTCACCATGGTTAGCCAATAATATCCCATCCTCTTTACGTGAAAGTGGAGTTTTAGTCCAGATTGATGTGATCCACACACTCCTGAGTGTGCTTCTTACAAAGCTTGAATTGTTTCTTCGTCTCCCAAACATCGTAATAGCACACCCTTAAATGATCTTCTACATAATGTGTCCTTGTAGTAAACGAAACGAGGTGCACCCCGATGAATGTTAGTCCTTCTCTTTTGAATTTTTTGTAAGTATCCCATAACACATGTAGTCAATAATGGGTTGTCTCCAATCTTTCTCTGTGACTTTAGAAACGGCAACAAGATGCTCAAATTCGTTTTCTATATATTCTTCCTCATTTGGTGGTGATACTATCCATTTTTTTTACAAATAGTAACTTGTGTTTGATCAGGAAGGGTTAACGTTGAAGCTAGGGCAACCAATGCATCAGCTCTTTTATTTTCTGTTCTACGCACTTGTTGAAGGGTTACATCTCCAAGCCATCCTATTAATTTTTGAGCATAATCATGATAAGGACGCAATTTAGGTTTTTTCATCTCATAACTTCCTAAGAGTTGGTTGATCACCAACTGAGAGTCACCAAGACTCGTAAATGTAATTATTTCATGTTGACAACAATCTCAAGTCCAAGTATCAACATTTGGTATTCAACAACATTATTAGAGCAGCATTGCTTCAAAGTAAACGAGAATGGTAGAATCTCTTCTAGCGAAGTGATGAACACTACGCCAGCTCCGCCACGATGTGCACCCCGTCAAAGTACATTCTCCAATGAGGTTGAATTTCTATGGACATCACATCCTCATCAGAAAGCTCCTCAGTTAACTCCCAATCATTAGATATCGTATGGTATACCAAGAAATTCGCTAATGCTTGTCCCTTCACAGATTTTTGTAGGATGTACACAATCTCAAATTGTTGGAATTGAAGGTATCATCTTGCTAGTCGGTCACTAAGGAGATGTTTTGACATAACAAACTTGATGGGAATTGCTCTAGAGATAAGACGGACAACATGAGCTTGAAAATAATAATTCATCTTTTGAATTGAGAAGATAAGTGCCAAGCATAACTTTTCAATTGGTGAATAATTTAGCTCATTCTGCATCATCGTTCTGCTTATGTAATAAAGAGTGTTTTCTTTGCCTTTACTATTCTTTTGAGATAACAGGGCTCCTACAGACCTTTCTTGTGGTGCAATGTAGAGTATCAATGGTTTTCCAGGTATAGGGGATGCCAAAACCGGAGGTTTTGCTAGATACGATTTGATACTTTTAAAGACATCACTACATGTTTGGTCCCAATTAAAAGAAGCACTTTTTTTCATGAGGTGACCGAATGGTTGACATCTTGCTGCTAGATTTGAGATGAATCTCCTTAAGCAGGCTAACTTTCCTTGGAGACTTTTTAACTCATGAATATTTTGAGGCTCGGGCATCCTTGATATTGCATCAAATTTGGCTTCATCAATTTTGGTTCCTCGATGTCTCACAATAAAGCCAAGGAACTTGCCGGAAGTAACTCCGAAGGCACATTTCAGTGTATTCATCCTCAATTGATATCTTCGCAGCAACTCAAACACCATTCTTAAGTCTTTCAAATGATCACCCCTCATTCTCGACTTCACCACCAAGTCATCAGCATAACATTCAACATTTTTATGGAGTAAGTCATCAATGATATTTTGCATAGCCCTTTGATACATGGCACCAACATTATTCAAACCAAATGGCATTACTTTGTAGAAAAAAATACCTTTCGGTGTGCGAAATGCAGTGAGTTATTCATTCTTTGGTCCCATGCTAATTTGATTATAATTGGAAGAACCATCCATGAACAACATCGCCTCATAACCAGTGGTAGCATCAATCATCAACTCAGGAATTGGAAGAGGAGACTCATCTTTAGGGCATGCATTATTGAGATCTCTAAAGTCAACAGAAACTTGAATTTGACCATTTTTCGTCCTCACAGGAACAATACTTGAAATCCATGTAGGATATTTGACCTCACGAATAAAGCTTGCCTCAATGAGTTTGTTAACTTCATTTTCTATCAACGGAACCAAGTCTAGCCTAAAACGTCTTTGAGCTTGCTTAACAGGACGAGCACCATTTTTACTGCCAACTGATGGACCACTACTTAAGGATTCGATCCTTGCATTTCTTTATCACACCAAGTGATGACGTTCCTGTATTCTTTGAGTATATTTATATAAGAGATTTCTTCATCAACCTCTAGAAATGCACTCAAGTAAGTTGGCCTTGGGTCTTCATCAGTGCCAAGGTTAACTTCCTTCATAGGATCTTTCGTGGTCTTTACCCCTTCTTCAAGTTTCGTTGGAGCATCTCCAGCATTTTCCTCTTCCAAAGGATCATTGTCATTGACAGATATATGATAACACGAGACAATATCTTCTACCTCTTCATCAATCTTCATTTGAGGCAAAGAATCGTACTCATTTTAGATTATAACATGATTTGAGGAACCTACACTTTCTTCATCTTCCTCGCACACTTTGGTGTAAACCACAGTGTGAGCCTTTGCCATGATTTCCTCTGCCACAAGTTCCACTGGTCGCCTCATCCTAGAAGGGATCAAACTTCTGAAATCCTTTCGAATCAAATGTGAAGTAGGCGTTATAAGTTTTAAATAACTTCTAGGATTTTGGTTATTCTTCTTCAAAGGACCTAATCTCTCAAACACAGAATTTCATGTAGTTGCTTCCCCAAGTCGATCAAAGACTGAATGCCTTTTATTGGAGCATTGACGTCATCTTCAAAAGTTATACGATTATTGCTGGCCCTTCTTATGGAAATGCGAATTGATGGCGGTTTGGCTATAACCTAGGCCACGTGATTGCCTAGTTGTATCTTCTAATGGAAGTTTCCTTAGCGTCGATGGCTCATTAGGATTGTATCTCGCCTTCACAAATAACTTGTAAGCATTGGGATCAAAACCTTCTCTTGTGCATTTTGTAGGGAGTGTCATATCTCGCACTTGATCTTGAGCGATTGACTTTTCTATTAACTTTAAGGACAAGTTTATTGCATCAATCCGTCTGATAAGAAAATTTAGCCCTCTCAATGCACTTTCTTGAAGGTTAGTTGATTAATCTTGTTCTTTCTTCGCTTTTGGAACATAGCAAAGCCTAGAAGTCAGCTTCTTCTTCAAATACATGATCTTCCCTTCATTAAGAATCGGACAAGGGTCTTTAGTGTCAATTTTCACCTTTTCGACAGCCGCATCAATTCTTTTGTTTACGATCTTATCAGACTTGATCAATTTGAAATCATTGGATTTGTCCCCTTTAACGACATAGCTTCTTAAATAGAATTTTGTATCTGCAAAGTGTGTCTCAACTTTGATGAAAGGATTATCTTCTGCAACTATCTTCCTTTCAATTCCACCTTCAAGATAATTCAAACATTTATAGTACAAAGATGAGACAATTTTATTCTCATGTACCCAAGGCCTGCCATGTAATATATTATATGATGTCTTTGCATCGATCACATGCATCCATGCGCTTGATCGCAAATCTTCCATGTGGATCTCTAATTTAATAGAACCTATAGACCTCTGCCACCTTGATTAAATCCCTGTATCAACAGACGACTTTCACTTAGTTCTCCAATCGTGATGCCAAGTTCTTTCAATGTGTGGATAGACAAAATGTTGACTCCAGATCCTTCATCTATTAAGATTATATTTATCTTCTTCTCTAGCACATGACCCACCATATACAAAGGACAATTGTGTAGTGTTTCACCAAATAGAAGATCATTATCTGTAAATGTGATTTTAGTATCACATGCATGTGCTTCTTGAAAAGAAGGTTCAATAGATTTTTCAAAAGATGAAAGAGACATAATTGCTGATATTTCCCTTGTTGCTTTTTTTTTCGTCACTAGGAGACACTTTTGGTGAGGATTCGCTCGATGTTCCTTCTTTTCCAGTAGAAGGTGCCTTTACCGTTTCTTCTTTATCAACCTTGAAACATGATGCCAAGACATTGTCTTGATTAGACTTTATGTTAAACGAGCTTGGTAAGAATTCCTCTAGAGTCACAGGACGTTAAGGTTTTGGTAGTGATGCACTTCTACCTTTGCCCTTTTGGGGCGTTCGGTTGATTTTTGCTTCTCCAATTTCTTCACCATTTTCCCTGTAACCGATTGCTCGAATGATTCTTTTCGTAAGCTTGACTTGTTTCATATTCACCTAGTTACAAGAATTCAACGTTCATCACCATCTATATCAACTTCCTGGTCTAATGACTCTTCTTCATGCTTTTTAGAGATATATATTTGGACCGGATCAAGTGATTCAAACGTGATAGAGATCTGGTTAGAACTAGCCTTCTCATCACCAATGACAATTTTGTTTTCGTTAACCAATCGCATCACTCTATCCTTAAAGACAATACATTTTTCAAGAGGATAACTGACAAGTCTATGATACTTGAAATAATTTGGGTCATCAGCTTTTCCAGCTTCATCGGGTCGCTTCATCTCTGGAAAGTCAATGAGCTTTAACTCGAGCAATTCATAAAAAATTTCAGAAACATCATAATCCAAGAAGGAATAATTTCCTTGCATCTCCCTTAGTGTCGACTTTTGATTTGAACGTGCTTAGAAAGTCGTTCTCACATTTTGCTTTATGACCTCAGTCTTGGTGAACTTTGCAGGTGACATATTTACACTCATGGATTCTTTGTTGTCATTTCTAGGAACAAATTTACTCCATCTCTTGGGTTCCTGCTTGTCTCTTCCTTTGCGAGGATCATGGACAATAGTCATATCTTTTCCAGTAGAGGACATGCTCAACTTCATATCATGAGCACGAGTAGCTAAATCTTCGAAGGATTTTGGTTTTATTCCTTTCAAGAATAAAGAAGCTCCCAGTGCATACCTTGAATACACATTTTAATTGCAAGAGCTTCACTAAGCCTGTCTTTGCAATTTAGGCTCGCGTTCCTCCATCGATTTATGAAATCTATAACCGGTTCATCCTTCCTTTTGCGAGTATTCGTGAGTCCTGCCATGTTCACTGTACGCCTTGTGCTATAAAAGCGATTGAGAAACTCGTGCTTTAGTAGCTCCTAACTATCAATAGAATTAGGTTCAAGATTCGTGTACCAATCAAAGGCATTTCCTCGAAGTGTGCAACATGTTGTTTGGATTTCCTTTTCCCTCAAATTGTTAAAATTTGGGAGGTTGATAACCAGCAGGCATTTTAAAGTTATCAATCCTAGCAGTGTACGACTTAGCATACATATGAGAAGACTTGGTGGAGTCTTCAGACTTATCTTTGATAATGCCTTCAATAAACTCCTTCAAGCGATCGAGTGGGATCATTCCTTCAGAAGAAAACGACATCTCTTTAACAAGCGGGGCTTTTTTCGCAGGATCTTTGAGTTCTTGAACTTCAATATCCTTTCCAGGCGCATGGCTAGCATCTCCATCTAAAAGTCCTTCCATTCTATCCATCAACTTATCAATTCGAGATTCTTGATTTTGTACATGCTTTGTCAATCCTTCAACTAACTTCGTCATATTTGCGAGTTCTTCCTCAAGAGAAAAAGCAGCAATCACCATCTTTTGCATGATCATTGGAGATGCTGGAGAGTAGCATGGATTGTCGCGTAAGTTAATTTTCAGCGGACTCACGTTACGCGATGTACGTGGAGATGATTCATAAGTTGAATCACAATTCTCCCTTGTGTTAGAGTTCTTGGAACCAGATTGCTCAAGTAGAGCCAATGTCTTCTTGATCTTTTCAGCAACACTACTTCCTCCTTCTAGATCATTTGTGGAGGAACTTGCTCCTTTTGGAGTTGAAGACCCAAAAACAAGAGTTGAGGCGGACGACACTTGAAGTGTTTGTTGTCCTAGTGTAGCAGTCTTGCTTCTCGTAACAACTCCGAAACTTTCAAAGGTAACACCAAGGATGCCTTCAACTTCAGTAGAAAACTTGGAGCTAGTGGCCTTAGAGGGAGTTAATCGAGAGTTGTTGTTCATGGAAGTCGTCTCGATATTCTTTGACGCTTGAAAAGTTGAGATGAGAGGTAGAGATTGTCCCACTAGGCGTGCCAGAATTTGTAGACAATAAAATTCACTTTGAGAAAACAATAATCAAGAACGGAAAATTATAGCAACAATCAATTTTATTATTTCAAATGCGAGTGTTACAATTACTATGATTAATCCTCTGAATTCGCCTTTTCAAATATAAATTCAAGGGCTTTAAGTATTGTTCTTGAATTTCTGATGAACTTGAATTTGAACTTTATCTTGATCTTGACTTTTATGAGCTTGTTCTTGAATTCGATGGTCTTGATCTTGATCGTTCATGAACTTGAATGTTTGAATTCTTAAACTTGTAGCTTTGTAGATAATTAAATGGCATTTGTACCACGGATTTTCTCTAGCTTCTTGTTTAGAATTTTCTGTCCCTTTTCTTAATTATGAGGACTCCTATTTATAGTTTTACAATAGAGGAGTTGCGATTGGAATAGGATTCCGTTTGGCTAATCAGATTTAAGTGACATGACATATGGATTTATGGAGGGGGCTTGTATCTTTGACACATGTCATGATTCTATTGTTTTTTTTATTTGACTTGGCATGCCACATCATTTGCACACGTGGCGCCAAGATGGGCTCTAGAATGAGATGGAATTGGGCTTAACAAATTGAGTTCATCCATTGTAGCCCAAATCAATCAATTTAGACTTTAATTAAATCCATATTTATTGGATTTAACTCAATTATATCAATCCACAATATTTATTTGGATTAATATATTTACGAATTTAATATAATTCGAATCATTTTATAAATTTATATTTAATAAATTTTAAATGATTGCATTATTATCTTAATAACTTACCTTATTAATGTTATATTATGGTTTTGAAACGTGTAGTCATTTGTTTCTCACTATGGCAATTGTTAATTGTCTTTATGGCATTAATCAAGAAATATTGATTTGGGTGTTACAAATGATCCATAATATATTTGGCGACAATATATAGTTTTTTTGGCAATTATTTGGTCTTGATTATGCATTATATGCATGGCTGTTGGTATGAGATTTACCATGCATATAGTTATATACTTATATATAGTACGTTTATGTGTTAAAAGAAAGGGAAGAAAGATTAATTATAGGGAAAAAAAACTTTTCTTCTTAATTTATTTTGATGGGTTTTGTTAAGTAAAATTTATTGTTTGTTAGATTATGGCTTCTAGTTTTAGTACTAGAAGAGCTTGTTCAATTTTGAGGATACACCTTAATTGGTGAAATAATAGGCACGCCTCAAGCTACAAGATTCCGTGATTTCCAATAATTTTATAACAAGTTATCAAACCACAATGCCTATCCTGTGAATTAACACATGACCACATTTATCATACTCGGCCTTGGGTATCCACATCTGCACAACAAGTAGAAGGTATTCAACAAGAGACTCACAATTATAACAAATTATTTATCAATTGAATGACTAGTGATCGATTAGTAAAAGAAAGAAAAAAGGAAACTAACTTTTTTGAAAGTACTGAGGGAAGCTAGAATTGATCATCGTATCTAGGTGTTGTACTTCCTTTCAGGTAAAGTGCACTGATTTGCTTGCTCATACGTTCTGCTATGCGAGGGAGCACAATGTTTGCAAATAAATCTTTCCTAATATCAATATCGCATCTCATGATTGAGTTGTAGGCCTTGTCATGAATTCCTGCCGCTTCCGTTCCACCCAATGATGGTTGAAATAGACTTCAGGGCAACGGAATCTCTCTGCACCAATAATGATGACTTCTCCATCAGGAAGTTTATAGGTCCCTCGCATAGAGAAGAATGGGAGCAACACGAACTTCATTGTAAAATGTGTGATGCTAGAGTTTCAGAAACAAAATACCTCTTTCACACAAAACGTCATCACCAATATAGGCATCTTTTCCTCTAATTCCAGCAATGATGACAGTATGACGAAGACGATCAACTACACTTTGGAAAACGAACCCAATAATGTCTGCATACACTCTACTCTCTCCAAACCAGATTTTTGGGATTTCCGAAGAGATTGAATTCAACAATATTTGCATCAAAGTAAAACCACATGAAATCATCATACCCAATCTAAAACTCAAAAGCCCAAAATTTAGCTAAGAATAAACAAGCACACAAATTCAAGTGAAACAGAGACGAATCAAATTTGGTTGACAATCAAGCAGACCTTTATTGAGACGAATTCAATGTTGACTTGAATATCAAATTACCATAAATTTTTATTCATTTGATAATTCAATTTTCGATATTTTATGCTCAGCAACCGTCCCATTTTCATACGATGGAGGTGAATTTATTTCAACAACAACAATATAGCCAACACAATCTCACAAATTAAAAAATTGAATTGAATAATCAAACCGAAATTATAAATACCAAACCAAATCATTTTTACCAAATCAAAAATCAAATTTTCTAAATCCAACGAAATGCCTAAGCCCTATACACGACCCCCTCCGATGTACTTTAGGTGAATTGGTTGATGCAATGTAGCTGACGATCTCGTTTGCCATCACCTTTTAATTCGTCAATTTTAATATCATAGCCCCACTTGATTCAAGAATGAACAAGTTATAATGTTTGAAGAATTATAGAAACAAAAAATATATGGGAAAAGGTTTTAAAATGCCCGTATCAGAAATAATTTAGAATTGTCCTTCCACTTATTGAATAAAAATTGTCTTTTCTTCCCCCTAGTGAAACTATTCGCGCTTCGCGCGATTATATGAAATATTTATAAGATAATAATATGAAATATATAATATTTAGGTTAGTATCGAATATATAGATAATATTTATTTTTCTCCTCGTCTGCGATATTATAGACTTTTTAAAAACATATAAAATATATTTATTTGTTTAGTATATGTATATATTAGAACAAAATATTCACCGTGGTGAAGTAAATGGAATAATGGATAATATGTTGAAATAACAATATATTGGAATTAGGTTGAAAATATTTTAGATGTTTTAATTTTCACTATCTTTTCTAGGAGTTGTGATGTTCTATCTAAACTCTGATTTCGTCAAATAAAATTATTTTCTTTTATTTTATTATTACATTTGCTTATTATAATTTTTTAAACATTATTTAAATACTTGTAAGATTTTCGAAAAATGAAGCATATAAAGTCATGATTCATATTTAATATTAAACTTTACAAGTAAGATGAAGAGACACGAATTATAAATAATTCAAATGTATAATTTTATTAGCCACTAAATGTATTACTAATTATGTATTGATTTTATTTGTAAAATAAAAAAATAAAAAAAAAGGTGTGAAAATACAAAAAATGAACAGAGAAAATATAATAATTGGTGACTACATAAAAATTATAAATACATTTCAAAGCAAATAGAACGACGACAGATTGTTACATAAGCAAAAAAATGACATCATGAAAATAATAATATATTTTTCAATTACTTTTTATAATTTATAATAAAAGTGAAACTAATCATCATAAATTTTGTTGTTGTTAAAATGAAATAATTATATTTATTTTTTTTCATAACAAAGAGAAAATAGAATACTAAAGGATCAAATGATTAGTATTGACAATATAATACATTTAGCTAAATTATTTACATAAATTAAAACTTTAAAAACTCTAGCAAAAGTAATTAAGTTGATAATAAATTTTAAAGTGAAAAAATAATCTCTAATTATGCTTAATTTTTTTTCCTTGTACCATCTTCCTTTGCAAAGAGATCCGTCATCATGTTTTGATCCATATGCCAAACTCTTCAAATATGCAACCAACTGAATAAAAAAAAAAGCATATACGAATTAAAAATAATGATGTAAAAAAAAAAGAACAAAATATAAATCATATTTAATATATTTATATATTATCTTTTCAATAGTAATAACAATACTAAATAATAATTATTTCTTGAAATCTAACAAATATTATAATCAAATTATATTATATATGGAAAACTAACTATAAACAAAGTAATTGCATACGGACAAAACATTGTTAAAAATTAAAGAGATTTTTTTAATTATACTTACCTGATAAATTATAATACAAACATAAAAATATATATTAAGTAAGCATGTCTAAGTCCATAAAAATAAAAAGAAAGACTTAAAAATGAAATATATCTTACCTTCATATACTTTTTTTTGTTACATGTTAGCTAATTCACAAACAAGTATTATGGAGAAGAGAAATTATAACTTTGTATGTGAATCTTCATGAAAATAAATATGAATCTATGTAGACAAAATAAAGGAAATGAAAAAAATAAGGACTTGAAAATGATATATTGATTAACTTCATGTACTTTTTTTTTTGGTTACATGTTAGTTTCCTTCACAAATCAAATACGAATTTATTGACAAAAATAGATGAAATAAAAAATAAAAAGTTCAATGAAGTATTTCTTACCTTCATGTACTTTTTTTTTGTTACAGATTAAACTTATATGATGAAAAAAGAAAGAATAATTGTGAAAGTGAATCTTCATTAAACTAATATAAATTTATAGGCAAAATAAAGGAATTTTATAAAACACATAAACTTATAAATTTAAATTGGAGGTTATGAATATAAAAAAATTATGAGAGTCATGAATATTATTAAAAGTAAAAATTAAAGAAGGGCAAGTCATGGGTAGTAACTCCTAGTGAATAAATTCAAAAATAAAAATAAAAATACTTAAAATGTAAAAAATAATAATATGATTTCATGATTAGAAGTGAGATAAACAAATAGAAAAAAAAATATAAATTTTTATTATTATTATAAATGTTCATACATTAATAAAGTATTTATTTGTATATTTGTATAAATGAAGTAATATATTTTTACAATAAAATAATTAATTTAAATTAAAAAAAGTCAAAAATAAATAAATTATGTTTCTCTTTTAATTATAAGTGAGATAAATAAATAAAAAATATGAAGAGTTTTTGTTATAAATGACCCACCATTAATAAAATATTTATTTATAATAAATTTAAGTAATTTTTTATGATATATAATAATTATTTTTTTAAAAAAAGATGAAAAAACTAAATGCAAATGGAGGCCATATAGAGGTGCCACATTACCTCCTCTGTGGTCCTCATTTATATATATATATTGATTGGATCAAAAATCTCTTTAACACTAATTTCGAAATAGTTTTAAACTCTTGCCTGTTTGAGTCATTTCTAATAAGTCAAAGACATTTTTGATCAAATAGATGAAACGAGGACATTTTTGAACTATTTCTATATGTTAAGAACATGCATTTTTAACTCAATACGCGGAAGGAAGATACATTTTTAATACGTTAAGGATATTTTTCAACATATACATAATTTTCAAGAATGTAGGAAGAATCAATCAATCCATATCAATTTGAATGGAGAATTTCATTTCCATTGAGTCAAAATTGCAAAAAGGAACAACAAAAAACACCCTGCATGTGGTGTAAGTAAAGAAAAACAGGGAGAAATTAAAATAAAAAGAGGGTATGCCTATAAATTGCTAATGACTAATTTCATGAAGCTAGTAAGATATGATTAATTTTTTTTTTCAATTACTTGCTAGCTACATATTCTATTGATTACAAATTTATAGTATATAGCTATAGAGAATTGGATATATGTCCCTTTCTCTGATTTGGTCTAATTAATCTCCCTCCAAAATTTCCTTTAGTTTATTAATCAAAATTTTCATTTCTTTGCCTTTGGCTTCTTCACAATCATCACGGAGCAACGAGCATGATGGGAGCAATAGTCACTTACGCTACCCAAAACAGCCCTGTCGAAAATGTAAGTAAAAAATTCCGATCAATATTTTCGTATACTTAGATCATGAAATTCAAAAAAAAATTCTTAAATTCTATGTAAAGTCAAAATCAATTACCTTTTGAAAGCTCCGTAACCATGGCTTCCCATGACCAAAACAGAGGCGTGATGCTTGTCAACAACATCACACAACACATTTCTAGCATCTCCTTCAACAACATCAAATTCTACACCACTCATCACCCCTTTAGCTTCGCATAATTGTTTTGACTTCTCGCATACTCTTTGAGCTGTCTTTTTAATATCATTTTCCACCACTGCGAGCACGTCACTTGTTCCTAAACAACATCAAAAATATCTCAAATCATCACTCGATTATAGTATAAAATTCACTCAACTATGAGTTCTTATCTCCTCAAAAAGAAATCGTATTATATGTGATGTTAGGTCTTAGGCCTAACTCATACCCCAAAAGTCACGTCTCAGACCTAACTTATACCTCAAAAGCTAGCTCTAGGATTGCCCAAGCCTTATAAGGAGTCCATCCATCTCAAAAGCTAGCTGTAGGATTGCCCAAGCCTTATAAGGAGTCCATCCATCTCATTAACCATCAATGTGGGACTTTTGTCATTCTTTAACACCGCACGTCACACCCAATACTTAACATTTGATGCGAGAACAATTTTTTGATTTTGAGAGCCCCAACATAAAGTGAAACGGGCTCTGTTATGATATCACGTTAGTTTTACTGTTGGAGAGAAGTATGTAATTTTATTAGTATGTATGTGTATTTATACAAGAGAGTGAACTACAAATAAGAAAAGAATCAACCACCAAGTGATCTTCCCCTAATTATAATAGAAACTTAATCAATAATGAGATACTAAGCTATGTAATATCAATCAAGAGATACCCTAATATTAATCAAGAGTATATGCATATATAAATATGAAAAAACACTAATATTTCAAAAAAAAATGGTATATGTTACACCTAGATTTTTAAAGTGTAATGTGAAAATTAAACTCAAAAATTTTAAAATAATCAAATTTAAATCTCGAATCTGTACCTGGTCCAGCTAGACCTACAACGGAAGTTGGAGTGATTTTAACGTGAACAATGATGAGCTTAAAAAGAGAATCGAATTGACCAAAAAAATGATCAAGTGTCCATTCTAAGGCGTAGAAGCTGTGGTCAGTGTCATCAAGGGCAAAAATCATGGTTTGTGTTGCTGCCATTATTTTTGATGAATTGTTACTAAGAAAGATCAAAAGATTTGGATTGTTGGAAATGAATCCAAACAATCCAAATCTTTTGCCAGAAAGACCAAAAGTTTTTTGTGTTTGGATTGAAAGTATTGTGATGAAATTATGGGGATTTTATAGTTGGTTAAAAGTGATACGACCACCAAATTTTGTGGACATTATTTGGCAGTTTTTACTTTTTTATTTGACTATTAATTTAAGTGGATGTTATTTAGCAGTTACTTTTTCTTTTTTTAATTCACAACTGAACTGAGGTTTTCATGGGATATGCTTGGAGTGGACTTTTTTTAGATGTAATTATGCGAAAGAGTTTCACTTTAAATTAAAATTGATTACAGTTTTGTTTGGATGATTGGTACTTAATATTTCAAAATGTATTAAATTATTTCATATTATAGTGTTATAATGAATATCTATAATATTTGGATAGATTTTGTCATTTTCTATCGTTACAAAATATAAAAAAATTCATAATTTGAATGATAGATCTACAAAAAGATAGGATACAAGGTAGAACTACTATACAAAGGTGGGATAAAAAGATTTAAAATGATTATTAAATAATAAAAATGGCAACTTTCACATATAACAAACAAAAAAAATCATATTTGTATAATATAGCAAACTTTGCATAATTGCGCTCCATAGCAAACATAAAAACTGTATAATTCGCTATACATATAAAAGTGTATAATTCGCTGGCCTAAATTGTATAATTCGCTGGCCTAAATTGTATAATTCGCTGGCCTATTTCGCTGCAATTGTATAATTAGCTTTGCATACAGTTGAATCGAATTAAAATGTATGTATATTGCATAATTATAAGTGTATAGCAAGAAGATATATGTTTTTCTCGCTTTATACAAAAACAGAAACACAATATATACACTTCTGTTGTATAAAGCTAGAGAAAATTGTATTTCACTGCAATTGTATAATTCGCAATTGTATATTCGTTGGTCTTTTTCTCTGCAATATTTGAAGTAAAATGATTGTAAATTGTATAATTAAGCGTATAACACGAAGATATACATTTTTTCATGTGTATATATAATTTTTTCTCACTTAATACAAAACAGAAACAGAATTATACACTTCTGTGTATAAAGCGAGAGAGGCGAGCGAGAATGGAGAGTGGCGAGCGAGATTTTTGGGAGAGAGACGCTGACAAATTTTAGCTAATGTTTGCATGGAGCACAATTAAATCAAATCCTAGCTATTCCATTTAATTTAGGTTATTAGTTTGCTATTTTATACAATTTTCCATAATAAAAAACCAAATGAGAAGAAATATTAAGATAACTATATGTCACACTTACATGCAATGAGTCTTTTCATTGTTAAATTAACGATGAGTTTAAATAACAATTAAAATAAACATGATATAGAAACTAACAATACAATTCAAGAAAACATGTATAACAACAGTATAAATAAGTCATTTTTAATAGTGCTTACACAAAGCATGAATTGAACAATAGGCGCAATATATTATCAAACTCTAGCCATTATGTTGTACCTGTCATTTTTTCAGTTGAGTTTAATTTTCTTATGTCCCTATTTTTGACAGAATGGTCTGGTGGAGTTTTGTACTTGTATAAGATTATATTCTGGCACTCTTACTTATCCTTTTATCATCATGACCCCTGAACCCATCCAAACCCAACATTTTAAACACTTTTTTAATTGTATTATGGTGCGTGTTGCACAAATACGTACACGTTGGCCAAAAAGAAAAAAATCCACATATGATATTAGAATCCACGTGGTAAAACACTCATGTAAAACTAAGAAAAGTCCAACCTCCGCGAAAATTTCAAAACCTTCGCAACTTTTCTACTTCTCCTCTCTGCGATTTCTCCACTAACACGTTCATATGTGATTTTTCATAACTTTGCTCAATTGAAGCTTAGTTCCACTCCGATTATCGTTGTAAGTTCTTGCCTTTTGTGTTAGTTTCCGATTTTTTTCATTTTCTTGCGCGTATCTATTTGATTATATGATCGATTGACATTTAATTTTCTGAATATTTTGGGGGATTTTACTTTGGTTTGGATGTAATGTTAGTGTAATATGTTTTCTCAGTTTATTAATGACTTCGAGTGACTTCAATGGCATATATCGTGAATTCGATCAGATTCTAGTATTTTTTTCGTAAAATCTCAATTTTGACTAAAGTTAATATTTTATGTCTAGTCAATTGTCTTGGGTATTGATAGTGTTAGTGGTCCATTTGTTACAACAATTACAATTATGGTAAGTTATGATGGCTTTAACTGTTACTAGTATTTGACTATTTTCTTTAAAAAAATTAAGCCTTTTATTTTACAGTCATGGTAAGTTTATGTCTTTAACTGTGGTTGTTAATCATGGTATATTTATGCCTTTGACTTTAGTTGTTTTTCCTGGTAAGTTTATGTCTTTAACTGTAATTGTTTTCTTTTAACTTTACAGGCATTCTAAGTTAAATGATTTAACTATAGTGACATTTCAATTTCACTATGGGGGTTGTTTTTTTATCTGATCCTACTTTAAGGTATGCCAATGAATCACTAGTGTCAAAAAGATTAATATAGATGTGGATGAGATGCATATTATGTTGTATCATAAAATAGCATTGGAATTGAGTGCCGAAAATGTTGAGACATTTGAATGTAGAGTTAACAAGAAGGGTACTTTTTACATGTTAAATATTGATCATGATATTTTAAATTTTCTTATTGGTTTGAAGGGTGCTGATTTTGTTGATGTGTATGTTGCATCCCATTAGTATACCTGTAATTGTTGAGGATATACTTGTATTGCCAAGCACTAATGTTGATGTGTCCTCATCTCCACAAAAAGATAATGTTGATGTGTCCATCCTCCCGACACAAAGATAGGGTTGGTCTGTCATTCTTCTCACAAAAATTGATAAGGCTGATGTGTCTTCATCTCAACCATTGGATGAAATAAAAATAGGGATTTAAACCAAAATTAGTCCCTTTTAGTTGAAGAGCAGTCCCCTGCCCCTAGAGTTGAAGAACATTCTGACTCACTCTATGATGTTGATGAAAATATAAATGAATTCAGTAATTTGGATGAGGAGTTGCTTCAAGCTAGACAATCTAAAATTGAAGAACAAGTTAAAGAGAAGGTTGATAGTGTAAATCTAGATGAGATACCATCTGGTCTTGTAGGTATAGATGCTAGTTTTGAAGACATTTATAAGGAGAAAGGGGGATATTTGAAGGAAATTTGGGGTGGTAATGACCCTTAGTTTGATAGATTGAATCCTGGTAATGACATTAGTGAAGATGAAGCGGATCCCGTTGAGGATGATGAAGTGGTAGATCCAACACCTTGTAAGGAAAGTACAAAAATCTACTTTGATCCAACTACTAAAAAGGTTTTTTTCCAACTGTATATGGTATTTTTGAATCACATTGAACTCAGGGTGGCACTGCAAACTTACTCTATTCAAAAGGGTGTTAATATTAATTTGAAACCTAATGAGAAGGAAAAAATAAGGGCACATTGTAAGAAAAAGAAATGTCCTTGACATATTCTTGGAAGTATTGATTGTAACACTGGAAACTTCTGTGTTAAAACATATTTTTCTGTCCACAAGTGTTTCAAAAGAACAAGAAACAAATTGTATACCCCCATTTGGATTAGTAAACATTACAAGAAGAGGATTATGAGTGAGTCTACCATCAAACTTCATCAAATTTAGTCTTTGATACAAAAAGAGTATGGTTTATATGTTAGTAAGACAAGTTGTAGAAAGGCAAAATTGAGAGTTATGACTGAACATATGAGATATTTCAAAAGGATTTTTCTAGGTTGTATGATTATGTTGAGCAATTTAAAACCACAAATCCTGAAAATCCTGTATATATTAGGACATCAAAGAACACAATTTCAAAAAAAGAGGTGTTTATGAGCATCTATATTTGTCTTGGTTCCTTAAAAAGTGGATGAAAAGAAGAGTGTAGAAGGATTATTGGCTTAGATGGTGCATTTCTTAAAAGTGTATGTAAAGGTGAATTATTATCTTACATTTCCAAAGATGAAAATAATCAGATGTACCCTATAGTACGGACAATAGTTTATAAAGAAACCAAGGAGGTATGGTCTTGATTTATCAAGTGCGTCAAACATGATTTGGAGCTTACAAAAGGTGAAGGACTAATAGTTATGTCTGACACGGAGAAGGTATTACTATATTATTTGTTAATTTATTCTTTTATTTTTGGAGTAATTGATATTTAACGTTGTTGTGTGTCAAATGTTCTTTGTTTGACAGGGTCTTCATCTTGCACTTATTGATGTATTTTCAGATATTGAAATTAGATGAAATTAGATGGTGTTCTAAGCATATAGGTGATTAAAAAGCACTAATCACCCCACTTAGACAGCAAGTATATTCAAACTCCGTAAATGAGATTTGTATGATCATGGAAACCTCCAGTTTGATGAAATAACCTTTAAATAAATAATTCGACCTTATAACTTTTCTGTTATATGCAAAGCTATTATGGGCATTTGTGAGCACAAAGAGATATATGGATCGCTTGGATTTAGCCTTATTATATATATGGAGAAAAAAAAATGATTGGCTCATAATGGAGGTACCTAATTAGGATAGTAAAAACAGATTTTCAATATGAGAAAATATTGTACCATGCTTACTAGTCAAAATCAGTTGATTTAGAAGAGATAGGTTTATGATTAGAAGTACCTATAAAATTGTCAGGGGATGTGTTGCTAATGTTTCTCTTGAAGACAATGTGGCATGTACCAAACAAATTTTTGTACTATGGTTGATACTATAGGGAATAATGAGGCCCAAAGATATTCTACTCAAATGGGGCATAATAGTGGACCAAAAATGTACATTTTGTTTCCGATGAATCCTTATTTTGAATGTGAATTAACATATTTGGCAAGGAACACTGAGATGGTTGAGATGACAATGTAAGATCCTCCCTTTGGACTAAGAATGGAACTAAAAGTACTACAACAAAAAATCAAAAGTAGCACAATATAAAGTCTGATTTGCAACACTGATTACTAAAACAAAAAAAGCCTTACTTCATACTCGCTCTGTTCAATTTATATTGACATTTTTAATCTTTTAGAGTCAAACAGTTTAAGTTTGATCGAAAATTTGCGCATGAAATTTTTAATTCTTTTGAAATGAAATTTATATATTTGTAAATTACGTAAAAAGTACTATGAATCACAATAATTGATTATGTATGATATTTAAAAAAATTTATGAAAAAATTACGATCAAAGATAAACTTGTTTGAATCATGAAATTCGAAAGATGACATATAAAATGGAATGGAAGAGTACCATATAGACAAATATTTGCATAAAAGTGAGGGGCAATAGAAAACTGTTTGAAACTATTTGTTCTTTATACATATAATATTGTCTTTAAGGTGTCATAGGTAGAAAACAATGAGCAGCCATGATGTTGGTTAGCTCAGGGTTATAAATATTGTTTGATGATTAATAAAATGTCCTGTTAATTACCAAAATGAAAAACAAACAGTATAAAAGTAAAAGAGGACATATATATATAAAATAATAGGAAAAAGATAATATAGCATTTTAAAAAGTTATTACTATTTAGTATTAAAAAAAACATAATTTTCTTGAATTTAAGTAAAAAATTACATATCGCATGATTGAGATGGAGAAAAAAATAGTACTATGAATACTTTGTAATTTTGTTTTCCTCAATAATATAAATTTTATATTTTTTTCAATCTATCGTTTTTCATTAATTTTTATTTAATTTTTTATAAAAGTTAGTTGGTTAAAGATGAAAACTCAAACAATCAAAATCCAATATCTTATATTCATAAAAGTATAAATTAGATGATGATTGTTTCTTTTAAGTATCAAAATATTTTCCTCAACACATTTAAAAAAACTATGTAGAATTATGCTAGGTAATTGATGCAAATATAGACATTTGGTGAGATTTATTAAGCACTATTGATGCTTTATAGGTGATTAAAAAGCACTAATCACCCCACTTAGACAGCAAGTATATTCAAACTCCTTAATGAGTAATCTTTAAGTTTACTTTTACGTAACAAAATTAAATAAAAAATATCACTTCTAACACCTCCACCAAATTTCCTCCGTCACAGCACCAAATTTATCTGTTTAATACTAGTTCGATATACGGGCTCGAATCAAAAAATATTAAGAGATCAATCGTAAATAATAATATGAATCACGATACTTCAAATTAATTAAGTTATAGCACAAATTAGTTGTTATATATATATATATTTCATGAAATTGATTATTACTACTATGACGAAAAATAAAAAAGAAGCTTCACATAATCATCCCTTTCAAGCAAATTTATAAATCCAATCCGAGAAATTAGGGTTGTTTTCCATTCTGGGTTTGATCAACTTTTACTCAAATCTTCTTTAGGACAATCCAATTCAGCTCTTATTTTTCAGGTATTGCATTTCAGTTCTATAAATGTTTATAATTCTTTATATGTGTTTAATCTTATTTTTCTCTTAAATTTTTTGTGGGTTTGTTGAATTTTACATGCATCGTATTGTTAGGTAGATTTGAAGTTACTGCATTTTAAGATTAAGATCGAAATCGACTGCTTTTCTGTGTTGTTTCATACTGAAATTGGTGAATTTACACGTTACGTGAATTCTCTTATTTGATTTGGACGTTTTGCTTTCATATGAGTGTCCTTTTTTTCCAAAGATTAGTTCTTGAAGAATGATCGACCAGGTTTTTTTCTACTTTTTTGGTTGTTTTGATTACAAATAAACGGTTCAAATGGACTCAGAGGATTCTTATAACTTACTCCAAAAATGTAGTTGTTGTTTCTAGGTGGAGTTAGAATTGATATAACTGGGAAAGACTCCAGCTTTTGATTATTTTTTTTCTACTTTGTGCTGTTGTGGAAGTATTGCATAGAAGATCTTAAAATTGGCTCCTCAAAGGCGATCGCAGCGCCACATGGGTGGCCACACGCAGCAGAGCAATCCGGCAGCTACTGCTGTGTATGATCACCCAGGCAATGCTGGTCCTACTGGTGATGGGGGTGATGCTTTCATGGCGCGATGGCTTCAGTCTGCTGGGCTACAACATCTGGCCTCTCCCCTGGCTTCTGCGGGTGTCGATCAACGTCTCCTTCCTAACCTGCTTCTGCAGGTAAATCTTAATTTTGACAGTGTACATTTTACTCGAATCTAGACTTTAGAGCTTAGTAAGGAACTGAGAAACTTCTTGTGATTCACTTCTTTGTAGTTTTAGTTTGATTTATTCTATAGCTTCAAAGGTGCAAAGGATTTATATGGCATGGCGTTATTCTTTGTTCTACTCTGGTCGCATTGGTCCTTCTAGCTGGTTTATACCTCCTACTGACTACCAATGTGATTAGTGAGGATAAAATTGTAGACTATCTTCCCACATTCCTGGATACTGTGGTTAGGTAGTTTCTCAGTTTTATTTTTACTCAAAGGAGGAGCATTGCATCCTTGTAAACTTCATTGTCCTTACTTGAAATGTTTGGTTACTGTCAGTCACACTGTATTGAGGAGTTTATCACAGTCATTTATACTTTCCTTTGCCCCCTGTTCCGTTTTATTTGAACATGACCATGTGGCCTTATCGTGGCATTCTTAGTTTGTATAAATGTTTCTCATTAAGTTTGTTAGTAACGGGGAAGGCTTGAATATTGTTTAAAAGGGATATGGAGCACAATCTATGGAGGAGAAGCAGAGGCTTCTTAAATTAATGAGAAACCTCAACTTTAATGGTGAATCTGTTTCCGAGCCATATACTCCAACTACACAGAGTCCTGGAGGGGTCAGAGGATCCGAAGGTTATTATTCTCCTGAGTTCAGAGGAGACTTTGGGGCTGGGCTTCTGGATCTGCATTCTATGGATGATACAGAGCTCTTATCTGAGGTATGAAAATATTCGACTTCGGCACTTCTATTATAACTTCTAAGCATACATTGTTTAAGCATTTCAAAAAAAGCACATTGTTAAGTTGGGGACATCTATTAGTTGTGCGGTGGTCAGCTAGATACGATAAACCACGGCCTTTCTCCCCGGCCATTCTATTTTACCTGCCCCTACACGCCATCCGCCAACCCCCACCAAAAAGGAGAATTACAATGAAAGAGAGGAAAAGGAAGAAGATTATAGACAAGGGTTACTGAATATGGGTTCATTCAAGTAAATAATTGATCCTTCCACTAGAGCCTTCCGTCCTTTTTTGGAATTGTACTTAACAGTAAAATATTACTGTAGTCATATATTTCGGTAGTAATGGATATCAGTAGGATTATAATATAAAGATGAAATTAGATTAACATTTGGATGCATTTGACAATGTATTGTCAAGCTCGAAAGTGCAGAGAGGATGAAGCAGGAAATACCAAATGGAAATATGTATTTTGATGTGTTTCTCAGATAAGTCTTAATTTCCAAGCATTTCTTGCCTATTAAAGGTTGTGAGAACATGCATTGCACAATCAGCTAAACTTCATTACCTTCTTGGATAATGTGTTTTAAATGAAGACCACTATGGATTTAGTCAACATTGTGCTTGTTAAAGATTGAAGCTTCCCAGAATTTAAAGAGGTTGTGATGCAGCTGTTTTCTTTGTTTTATTGCCATTACTCTTTTCTAGTAAGTACGTTGTGGTCTTATTGGGGAAGTGAAGAACATAAGATGTGTCTATAGCTATGTCTGAGTTCATTTCTTGTTATTGAGTGAAACTGCCCCATGCTCTGTCTGTCGTATAGAAGAGAACTGTTGAGTACTAATGTTTGCTTTATTTTCATTATAGCATGTTAATTCTGAACCATTTGAGCCATCACATTTTATGCCGGCAGTAAACTACTCCTTTGATGGTGACTTTGATGCTCCTACCAGTCAGCAGCAAAAGCCATCTCCAGACACTGATACTGCAGCTGAATTTCCGCCAGTTGATAAAGAAAACAATGCAAGGGAAAACAACGTGGCAAAGATTAAAGTAGTGGTATGTCAGTTCTGCATATAACTTAATGTGTGGTTCATGACCCTCTTTCTTTATAAGAAAATGTGTTCTTTATTCTGCAATTCGAACTGATATAGAAGCACCCAAGGGTGTGGCCTAGTGGTCATTGAAGTAGTTGAGAACCTTGAGGTCTCAGGTTCAAAAACTCAGCGGAGATAAAAAAACACTAGGTGATGCTTCCCGTCTGTCCTAACCTTGATGGACAGAATTACCTAGTACATATTGTCAGTGGGAGGTGACATGTATCCTGTGGAACAAGTCGAGGTGCGCGAAAACTGGTCCAGGCACCACGATCATAGAAAAAAAAACTAATATAGACTAGATTCCGGAAGTAGGTAGTATCTGGTAATATACTAAGTGTTCTTTTACCGCTCCTTCAATTTCGAATGTTGTTCTTACCCTTGCCATGTACCGTACATCGTCGTTTATATGATATATATCAGGTCTTTTCCTTTTAAAATTTTTCTAAAGCTGACAATTGTGTGTGGATAGGTGCGTAAAAGACCTGTAAATAAGAAGGAGATTGCTCGGAAAGAGGATGACATTGTAACTGTATCCGACAACGCTTCTCTCATTGTTCATGAACCCAAGCTTAAGGTTTGTCATTTGTAGTTACAGATTATTGACACTTGCATCATACACTATGGAGGGCTGATGATGCTTTTCGGTGGCTTATTTGACCTTTTAAGTCTTTGAGGAACTGAGTTTTGGTTTTGTTATGGAAGGTGGATTTGACAGCTTATGTGGAGAAGCACGAGTTCTGTTTTGATGCTGTCCTAGATGAACATGTTACAAACGATGAGGTATTATTTCATCAGACAAATGGAAATACTAATCTCAAAGACAATTGGTTTATGTGCTTGTCCTGCGATCATGTCAAAAATGATTTAGACTGCCTTGAGTTTTTGCTTTGCAAGGATTAGTGCTTACCATTTTTTGACATATAAAACATTTCCAACTTAATGTGTTAGGTTCCAGTTTCCTGTCATGGTTGTGCCTCATGCAATGCTTTGCAGGTTTATCGGGTTACTGTGCAACCAATTATTCCTATTATATTTCAGCGCACAAAAGCAACATGTTTCGCTTATGGCCAGACAGGTGTGTTTGTATTTCTTCACATTTTTGTTTCAGTTTTTTTTTAAAATATAAGGTACTCATCATTTTTCTGGTAGTTAATATAGGGTGCTCAATTATCTCTTTGGCTTTAGGTAATTGCTGCTTGATTTGTTGTTGGTATTTAAGTTTTGGGAGAATTTGTAGAAGGGAAACAAGCTAGGCAGATGAGATCCAAGATGAAGGAGCTCTTGAAAATCATGTTGAGATTTTTCCAATTTTGAGTTATGTCAGTGATCTCATTTATCTAATCTTGTTTGTCTGACCAGTGCAAATTTATGAACTGGACCTTTAAAATCTTAATGGTAGGTGCAAAATATGTTTAGGTCTGGTCTTGTTTGGCCTGCTTGGTCAAAGATGCTCATTAGAACAGTGAGTTATTGAATGCACGAGGGAAAATCCTTTGGAATGTTTTTCCTTCTCGAGTCGAAGGAATAATCATTGGTGACCCTTCTTTAATATTTATGGCATCATAGTATAATATGTATGCATGGGACTGTTGCAGCTTCCACTTCCTTCTTCCATGGTCAGAAATGGACCACATGATAGACACTAAGCCATTGTTTTTTTTATGTTCACTTTTGTTTCTCTTTATGAGTGTCTATCAATGGAAGTTTCTATAAGCCTGTAACTGTTGGATTATATTTCTTCTTGCTGCTCTTGGTTTGTTTTCTGTTACTCTCAGCATCTGCGTAGTTGGTTATCTTCAAATTCACTTATGTCCTTTTCCTTTCTTTTTTTTGATGTCAGGGAGTGGTAAGACGTACACAATGCAACCTTTGCCTCTTAGAGCTGCGGAAGATCTTATGAGATTATTGCATCAGCCAGTGTATCGTAGCCAGAAATTCAAGTTGTGGCTTAGTTTTTTTGAAATATATGGTGGTAAACTGTTCGATCTTCTCAGTGATAGAAAGTTAGTATGCTTATCCTATGTGGGACATCTATTTCTCTTATCCTTCTATGTGGGATGTCGATATGCAACCTATTACTTATTAAAAAAGCATGCATATGAACATATATATATATATATATATATATATATATATATATTATTTTTATTTTTTTTGTGTGCGTGTATTAGAGAGAGAGTGAGAGAGAGAGACTGAGTAGATGTCATGCCTGAGATATAAATCTATAAACTTTGTATTAATTTTTCTGTGTTTCTTGTTTTCTAACCTAGAGCCTTTCAGTAGGTCTCTGTTATACAATATGGAGTCATGACTCATGAGATTGGGGCGTCACTTTATTTTCAGACCGTATGAAATAACAGAAACTAAGAGCAGTGTGGCAGAGTGTATGCACATGTTGCATTCTTTTGTCTGGGCCATCCAACTTGTAAATAATGTGAAATCTTCACATAGTTTGTTTCATGAATTTATAGTCTCATGTCTCACTTTTGTTTCCTTTTATCAATGTTTTACCAAATTAACTCCATTACTTTTACGCAGGAAACTATGTATGAGGGAAGATGGCCGACAACAGGTTTGCATTGTTGGACTCCAAGAATTTGAAGTTTCAGATTTGCAGATTGTGAAAGAATATATTGTGAGGGGAAACGCTGCTAGGAGTACAGGTTCCACTGGTGCAAATGAGGAATCATCAAGATCACACGCAATATTGCAGCTGGTGGTCAAGAAGCACAATGAGGTGAAGGACTACAGGCAAAATAATGATGGAAATGATTATAAGGGTGGCAAAGTGATTGGGAAGATTTCCTTTATTGATCTTGCTGGAAGTGAGAGAGGTGCAGACACGACTGATAATGACCGACAAACAAGGTAAGTTTTCATAGGGCACACATCTGGATGCTCGGCATTTCTTTTGAGTGTAAATTAAATAGAAGTTGATGTCCTGAAGACCAAGCCTATGTTTTTTCCTTATTACTGCAAGCAAGGATGCCATGAAGTATGATGCTTTAAGTATTGACTTTAAACAGTAAAGTATTTTTCTCTAGAAGTTTTGTTCGGAATTTCATGACATAGTATATATAAAAGAATTTTTTAGGGAAAAGGGCGAAAGATGCCCTTGAACTATATAGGTCAGATTTACTCTCCATTGTGTTTTTTGGCACAAAAATGCTCTCCAACCAGTCAAATAGCTCAAAAAAGGAAAGAAACAATAGATGTTTTGAGAATATTGCTAATCCAATGCAGAAAGTAAAAGAAAACTGCATAAATACTTTATATCTTTGGTGTAAAGAAGAGGGTATAGATGAGGTAGAACAGCCAGTAGACTTCGTAGACTATCTGTAATTATGATTACTTGCACTGTAATTTTTTTGATGGTTGACGGCATGCCCACGTTGCTGAGGAATATAACTTTACCTTGCTCAAAAAAAAACAAGGGAAAAAGAGGCCAAATCACTTGCAGTTTACATGCCTTGATGCTGGTATGCTAAAGTACTATATTGAACCTACATTTTCATTTGTTTCCAGGATTGAGGGAGCAGAAATTAACAAGAGCTTGTTAGCTCTTAAAGAGTGTATTCGTGCTCTTGACAATGACCAGATCCATATTCCATTCCGTGGGAGCAAACTTACTGAGGTTCTTCGTGACTCCTTTGTTGGAAACTCAAGAACTGTCATGATTTCTTGCATTTCTCCTAATGCTGGATCATGTGAACACACACTCAATACATTAAGATATGCAGACAGGTACCGTCACTTTTACTGTAAGAGTTGAATGTTTGTTTTTGTTTATTATGTATTGCAGCCTATTGACATTTGATCAACAGGGTTAAAAGTCTATCTAAAAGTGGAAACACAAAAAAGGATCAGAATGCAGGCATAATACTCCCGATGATGAAGGAACTTTCTTCTGCACCAACTTTGGTTGCTTCCACTGAGGCAGAAGATGATAGTGAGCAACCTCAAGAGTCAAAAGTATCAGAAGTAAGTAGAAGGATGGGGAGAGAAAGTACATCTTACAATCCCTCTAGTGAGCGCAACCAAACCTCTAGTTTTGCTTCAACTCATACCTTCACTGGGTGGGAAGAAAGTGGGACAAATTCTGCTGGTCTGGATAGGAACAAGTTTGAGGTGAAGAATAGCTATCGTGTTCCATCTGGTCAGAAAATGTACCCAACACCAAACATGCAAAGTTCAGCTGATACAGAAGACAAGGTGCAGAAAGAGTCTCCACCTCGGAGAAAAGTTTCTAGAGATGAGAAACCCGAAAAGACAGAAAGGCCAGGAAGCGGGTCAAGAATTGATGTTTCAAGTACAGACTCATTGTCTACAAGTTACAAACAACAAAGTACAAATAGCTCCAACATAAGAAGTATTGGAACAAGACAAAATGAACTTAATTCACCCCCTCGTGATGACAATATCAATGAGATACTGGAGGTTAGCATATACTCTGCCTTCGCTTTGTTACCCTTTGCATTGTTTTTTATGCTTTCTTTTCCTTTTTTGTTTTTTTGGTTGTTGAGGATGGGCAGTATTTGTTTCTCTACTTGGAAAACTGCCATGAACTCCCCATTGGCGTCTGCTAATTTTCTCTCTCTGTGTGTGAAGGAAGAAGAGGCCCTGATAGCTGCCCATAGAAAAGAAATTGAAGATACAATGGATATTGTTCGTGAAGTAAGCAAAATCTCCAATAACACTCTTAAACTTACCTCCGTTCAAAACCTAGGAATATTTCTATTTCTGTGACATGCATGGTAGTTGTAACTATGTTATTTCCCCTAGCCATCTTAATTCTTGAATCTCTTTTGGTTCTTATTTTAGATGCAATGCCCATTCATCCAAGAGTTTAGATGCTTTTATCTGTGAAGCAACATAAGTCATGGGTGATCCCATGTATATAAGCTTTCCATGCTTGCTTGAAAGCATGAAATATACTTCGCCCTTTTTTGGTTAAAACCTTACCTCACCCATTTTTCTTCCTACCATCTTCCCGTGTTTTTATGTGCTATGGTTCTTTAGATAAGATCTGAGAGGGCAGTAGGAAATTTTTTACCACTTATTTTGCTTTATTTGTCACGAATAGAAATTTAGTGATTCAGTGACATTTGTCTGGAGACAGCACCGCTTCAAATTTTTGTCCATCTTTACTTCTTTTTTCTGTTTGTCTAGTGATGATATTTTCAGTGATCATTGTATTGTGTGAACTTCTATTATACCCTCTTGAGTTCCTACAAACAAAACCAATTGAAAAATAAATAAATTATGTTGGGAAGAAATACATGAGACCATCAGTGATGTGTTTGAGATGATTAATTCATTTTGCCTTCCACTACCAGGAAATGAAACTGTTGGCTGAAGTCGATCAACCTGGTAGTCTCATCGACAATTATGTCACACAGCTGAGCTTTGTGCTATCACGTAAAGCAGCAACTCTGGTCAGCCTCCAGGCTCGCCTTGCCAGGTTCCAGCAGCGATTGAAAGAGCAGGAAATACTGTGTAGAAAGAGGGGAACATGCTAGGCTACAAGTTACATGGATACAATCAGAGGGGCGCCTATTTCTATTCTCTTTATTTCTCTCTTTTGTAATTATTTCAAGAAATATCTTATTCCTCTTGTGCCAAATGTGTACAAAAACCATCAAGAAGTTCCATTGAGCAAGTTTACTTAAAGAGGAAAAAATGCTGGCCTCTTCTGAGCTTTTGCAAAACGAAACAACAGGTGTTTTAACGGAGCTTTTGGACCATGCTGCTCCAGTTATAGTTTAAGAAGTCTCTTTGGATTCTCTGGTGAAGGAGTGGCTCAGAGTTCTAAATTGGCACCATGGACAGTAGTCTGTATATGTTACTGCGTTATCAGGAATGCATTATTCCAGTTAATACTGCATTGCTCAACTGTTTTACTGGTTGCAGATGAAAAGAAAAGCCTTAAAATGGACAATGGAATTGATATAGTTTGTGTATAGAACAGTTTTAAGTGCCTGTTCCAACTTTTGCATTAACTGTTTGTTGTTCTTATATCCAAACCATTTCAGCAATCAAGCATGTTGATCAGTTTCACTTTAACTGCTATATGATACTTCAATTGTGTTTCGGCTCAAGGTAGTTCATCAGTCCCACTCGCTGCTAGTATGCCCAGTCCGTGACCAATTATTCATCGCAAAAGGGATGATAACGATGAAAAATCCTTGGATTCAAGGAAAGAACATAAACATTTCAAAAAAGAGAGCTCTCTACTTCTGACTTTTGGAATGAGAAACAAATTGAACCCAACCAAGATGCAAGCTTTTGATAACACGACATATAAACTGAATAAACCATTCCTGTTGATGAGAATGTAACCCCAAAGTGTGCAACACAGATCAAACAACAGAAATCTTTAACTTCCTCTTTACTGAAGAAATAAACAATTTCATAAGTTACAACTTTGTGCTTCCTTCCAGTTCATCTTCATGAGTAGAGAAAGGTCAGTAAGGAATTCCTCAATTGCTCTAAGATTTCTCCAAAAGACAGCTGGATGCTATATATGAGAATTCTAAAGACCTACCTAAAAAGGAAACAATTAAGAACAACTAAAGCACTTCAAACCTCAACCTACAAAATCATGTCTTCATCAGACAGTCAAACCACAAAATATACTAATCAGACGAGGCCTTCAGGAAATTGTTAGCAATACATCAATCATCCCAACAAACTCCATAGTCCACTCCGTTTGCTCACACCGGATATTTGAAATTGCAGCAAAGAGCATGTTCAGGCTTTTTACTCAGCTTTCAACCTTAAGATCTCCTTGACAGTCCTCGACCTGAAATATGGCATGTGCTCCTACAAGAAAAGGGCGACATTATCAGTTTCAATAAGCATGCTTTCTTGCAAAAAAAGTCACAAGGACTACTACACCAGCCACCACCACCCAGGTCTCTAGGTATCTTAAAAACATATTAGCAAAAACAAAAATCATTGTCCACAAGGGAAAACAAGAAAACATTTCTATCACAAAGAACAAGGTGAGCAGTAGGAAAACTAAGCTTCTAAGAGTTAGAACAAGACAGCTGCTTGGTACTAGCACTTGCTTAAGAAAAGAATTACAACCATTTTCATCTCAATGGTAGAGACGGAGTTCTTTATAACCCAAAAGAAGTATAAACATGTCGGAAAGGATGGGCAAACAAGGAAGTTGTTCATGGCCAAGAAATCGGTGAACATGGAAACAAAGCGAGAATTTTCAGAGAGAGTGAGAGAAAGAGAACCAGTGAATTATATACAGTTCTTGGAGAGTTATTGGCATTCTAACATAGCACAGGAAGATCAAAAGTCATATTCTTAGCATCAAGAAACCTAAAGTGGAAATATTTTGGTATGATAACCCAACCACCCACCCCCAAAACATATACGCACTCATATATATTGCATGTGTGCTGTGTTTGTACATATGCAATACATATATGTATGTACACACACACACGTGTTCCCCTTCCTACTCAAAACTTCATTTTGAACTGTTAGCCTCACCATTTTCAATTTTCATCCAAAGCTGCAAAGAGTATTCCAGTATATTGTTTTACCTGACTGAAACAGAGTCCTATATCTCTGCTGTAGAAATCAGCATACTTGAGCATGAACATACCACAGTCAAACCTGTACATAGTGACAGCTTTTATCAGTATGATTAGTCAACAAACTTCATCCACAGAAGTCAGTCGGTAGAAAATCAAGCACCAATAGTATAAAAGGTTGATTTATATTTCTTGTAACACGAACAAGCTAAAAAAAAAAATTGGCACGCTATTGTAACAAAATTTAGGGTCAATTAATTTGACCTTCCCAATCGTTAAACAAAACTTAATATAGTTTGATGTTTCATTTGATCAGCTTCTCTTTACAGTCACTAGAACTTTCAAAACACAAAAATTCAAGTTCCCATCCATTTGCCCTTCAATGTTAGTGTATTTGACAAAAAACAAGCTAACTAAATGTAATGACTTAAAGAATTGGGGCTTGGCCCATTTAAAACAAGTAACCAATTAATTACCTAACCCAACCCATTAAACTACTTACATCCTTAGTTATAACTCACCTCCTTAACAACAATAATAACTAGAATCTAAATTAAAAGAGAGAAACGACAACTTTAAAATAAAAAATAAAAGAGAAAAGCCAGTCAGCAACAACAACATGCCTAGTGAAATCCCACAAGTGAGGTCTGGGGAGGGTATAATGTACGCATGCCTAACCACTACCTCCTGGCTCCTGAAGGTAGAGAGGTTGTTTATGAAAAACACTCGGCTCAAGTGCAACAATATCCCGGTATAAAAAGAAGAAGACAATGAAGAGAAAATAGCAAATAACGAGGAACAATGCAAAAGTAGCCAAAAACAACAATATAATGATGAGATAGTCAAACAACATAAACATACTAGGATAGATTAATATTAAAAGAACAATCATAAACAAATAGCCACCCTAAGAAAGACAACACTACACTACCTACTACCCTTACACGTGTCCTACACACCCTCCAATCAAGGGTTATATACAGCCTTATCACCTCTCATAAATACTTCTTCACTTCTTCAGCCTACCTCTCTCTCCTCGTACCCTCTATAGTCAACCTCTCACACTTTGTCATAAGCGAGTCAATCATCTCCTCTTCACATGTCCATGTCCATGTCCAAACCATCTCTGTATTGCTTCCCTAATCTTGTCCACCACAAAGGTCAAACCCACCTTATCCCGAATATTCTTATTTCTAATCTTATCGTTCCTAGTATGACCACACATCTACCTCAACATCCTCATCTCCAGAACACGCATCTTCTATACATGGGAGTTCTTGATTGGCCAACACTCCATCCCATACAACAACATTAGTCTAACTACCACTTTCTGAAACTTAACCTTGAGTTTTAATGGTATCTTTTCTTATGATTAGGAAAACACACAGCCGCTAACCTTACATTTGGGTGTGCACAGGGTAAAAACCCCTCTCCTATGCAATAGCTCTCGAGATACCTTTTTATCACACAAGACTTTAGAGCCAAGCCTTCACTTCATCCACGCCACACCAATACTCTATGATATCATCGTCGATGTCCCAGTGCTCTATATCATACACCCAAGATACTTCAGTTTCTCCCTCTTGGGTATCTTTTGTGTCAAGCCTCACTTCAACGCCAACCTCATGCATCGCATCATTGAATTCACATTCCACATATTCTATCTTAATCGTGCTAAACCTGAACCCTTTAGTCTTCAAAGTTTGCCTCTACACCTCTAACTTAGAATTTACTCCACTGTGTGTATCATCATTCAATACTGTGTCATCCGCAATAACATACACCACGGCACCATATCTTGCACACCTCGAGTTTATACATCCATCACCAAGACAAATAAAAACTAACCAAGGGTTGACCCCTAGTGTAACCCCATTTCCATAGGAAGTGCTCTGAGTCTCCTCCCACAGTTTTTACCCACGTTTCTGCTCCACTGTACATCCCCCTACCACCGATACACCACTTGTCTCCGGGAATCTCCACAAGACTTCCCTCAAAACTTTATCAAGGCCTACTCGAGGTCAATGCACACCATATAGAAGTCATTCTTTTCTCGATATTTTTCCATCAAGTCACCTTACAAGTTGGAAAACTTTTGTTATCGCTCTCCTTGGCATGAATCCAAACTAATTCTAGAAAATAGATGCACTCCTCTCTCTCATTTCCACAACTCTCTCCCAAACTTTCATAGTGTGAGTTAACAACTTGATACCCCTAGAGTTGTTGCAATTGTATATCACCCTTATTCTTGTACAATAAAACCATTCTGTACTCCACCTCCATTTCTCAAGCATCTTACTTGTTTGAAAAACTCCACCTCTATCCTTGCTCTTCAGAACTCCATCAGAATCTCATCTGGACATGTTGCTTTATTCATGCTCCTTCAACAAATAGCAAGCTTTACTTCTTCAACCCTAATATGCCTACAATACCCAAAGTCTCTCAAAGTGCTCCAATTCGGTCAGCAAAGGATAAAAGTAGTGTTGCTGGTTTCAAACCAAGTTGTCCAGCAAGACTGATTTTCAGAAGAAGAAAAAACAAGAGGTATAAGATACACATGAGAGAGAAGGGAAAGTAAGAGGAAGATTGTAGAGACGATCAATATTTAGGAGACCCAATCACTTTCCTCCATTCATGACTTTCACAAGCAAGTTCTTTACATATATATTCACTGTGAATTCATCCTTTGGTTGGGAGAAATAATCATAATAACTGGGATTTAGGATTAAATAAAATCTGGAATTTCTTTTAAGAGTTTGAACTTTGGGGAAACAGACTAAAAGGCTGATTTTGGTATTAAAACTAGGGGATAATAACTTCTTGTTAATTTGAAGTTCCACATCATAGCCTGTTTGTAAAGATTGTTAGATATCATCTTCTTAAGATAGAAAATTTTGGTTGAAGCAGTAGCGGTGGTGATCTATTGAAGAGATGGTATTATGTCTAAAAATATTTAGAGTTCATGATTTTTTGGGATAAATAACATCTAAACATTATGATCCTTGGAAGCTAGGTTGGATTGATTTTCAACTATAGCATGTTTTAGATTTGTCTTTTGCATTAAAATCATTTATCCAGAAATTTTGTTTTCGTGCACACGGACAAAATGTATGATCAAATATTTGAAAATGTACAAAATCGCTTTTATCATGAGCTTACATATTGATCACTCGTGAATTTATGCTACTTCCGAGTTATTATATATTGTTGGATTTGAAGTTGACATAAGAAGAAAATGAATATATGAGGTATTATGAAAAAAATATTTCAAGAAGTTAACTTTGCAATTTGCCATTATTTAACATCAAGATTGTTAAACCTGGTGCACCTTGTAGGAAAAATTAATGTTGTATAAAGACCCTAACGATGTGATTATTTAAACAACTTGAATATAGATTTCATACATGAATTTGCTGAATTGATTGAAACAAGCTATTATTGATGATTTACAAACTGTATTTCTTATATATGCTTGTTCCAGG